TTCAAATAATGAGAGAAAGCAGTGATAATAATACTAATACTAATACTACTACTACTAATAATAATAATAATAATAATAATAATAAAGTTGGCAAAGTTGATTTACGATAGTGAATAAATCTTATCATTATTATTCAAAAGATTATACATTTAAATTTAATTGATAAATTTTGTTATGAATTTGTCTTTTTTTCTTGCAACAAATTTCTCGTAATTTATACTAAAATGTAATTTAGAAAATTATCAATGAAAATAAATGGATTCACTTTACATTTTTTTCGAGCGTTAAAATTTAAAAAATTGTCAGACTTATATGTGTATGAATAATTTATAGAGCAAAATTATAGTAAGTATTAATCACTTATTTTCAGGCGAGAAAATGAAAGTTTGTATTCGAAAGATTAGTATTAGCATAAAATAGCGTTGAAAATTACTCGCAGAATAGTTGAAATGTTATTAATGCTTATGGCGTAAACCGTTGAAAATGTATTAAGCGGTCAAATGAAAGAGATTTTTTATTTTTGAAATTTGTTTTTAATGATGTTATTTTTATTTATTAAAGACTGCTTGCTGTGTAGTTTACTTATTTTTGTGAACACTTTTCTGCTAAAAGTATCTGTTCATAAGTTGTAAAAAGTTTAAAATGCAGAATTTGAACGTTAAAATAACAAAAATAGCAAAATTAATTCAAATATTAGTATAAATAATGATGTTATTTATGACTAAATATATGATAGTAGTAATTTAATCATAATCTTAATATCAATAATACTAATAAATTATAATTATATTTAGTATAAAGAATAAATAAATATATTAGTAGTTCTATGATAATCTTAATATCAATAAAACAAACTATGATAAATTATAATCATATTCAGTATCAAGATGATAACTATGGATATTTGTACATGATACCAGTAATAATAATACATTTTACCATCTCTTTGTTCAATTACAAACAATGATAACTTTTTAAAGTTTGAATATGAATATGCAGCAATAATTAATTATCTTCTGCTGAAGGAAAGTTTTACTTGCAATTGTAAACAAACTAATATTTAAAAAAGTTTTAAAGTTTTACTAGCAAGTTTGGTATAAAAGTACAGAGTAGTAGTAGTCAGGAAGTGAAAGGAATGTGGAATTAAGCTCAGTGACAACTGACCAACTGCCAGTATATATTTGAAAGCTTAGATGATCTGGTACTATCAGAACCTTGATTAGCAGTGAACATCACTTCTTTACACTACTAAATCGTAAAACTGCTTTCTCAATTACCCCAATTATAAGGATTATGAGTTTTGCTGTATAAATTTCCATTGCATTTTCATCTTTTATGACCTTAAAATTCAGTATTTACACATTACAACCTATTAATTTTGAATTTAATAATGGCTACAAATTACTTGTTCAGTCAAAAAATACAATACTAATCGTAACAGTGATAATAGTAATATTAATAATATATAATAACATTATTTATTACAGAACATATTCAAAAGTTAACTCAAAATAAATCAGTAGTATAATTTTTATAACTTTGATCATTACATGACCTTCTTATTACTATTCTTTTTCCTGAACTTAATAGTTTCATCAAGTTTGTGAAGTATAAAAGCTTTTCTTTTTTCAAATAATTATTAATTTTAGTCACTTTACTTATATAAAATTATATTATTCTAAAAAGTCTAAAATTTTTTCTTAAAACTAATATTTAGCTCGGCATAGTTTTTCTATCATCAAATTACTTGTCAAAATAAACAAGCCTATCACTAGTCACTATTTCTAACGTTGTATTTAGTCTTGTCTGTACCACTTGCTTATCGTCCTCGTATAATATCCGATTGAGTTAGCTATTTTAATATGAGTTTAAGAAATATTTAAATATTCAGTACTTCAGAAACAAACTTGTACTGTATCCAAATGCTATTTTCAGCTATTTGTTATACCAAAAGCAATTGTACCCACCAGCTTGCTTTTTTTGCAAGAATTGCATCTGAGACAGATGAGATGAAAGAAGTAAACTTTTCTTTTCCAAATAATTATT